TGCATTATCACATGTCTATCTATGGCTAATATCCAGCCTCCTGTCAGTACACCTCTGATGCATTTCCGAGTAAACTGCGGACATCTGTTTGCTGAACTTTAGTTAACATAACTATTCATTCATATCAGGTATTTACTAAGGGTCCACTCTCACTGGACATCACTTCATATGTACTGGAGGAGTCGCTACTTGAAGGAATCCTACAGTGGCTGTTTTTGAAAAGGAAATATTCAAGGGAATCATACTTTTATAAAGTAAACATTTTAATTGACTTTATTTTTATGCACAGTTTCTTGCTGGGTTTGCTTGGATGGGGGTCCTGCTGGTACCAAAGAGATATGGGATCATCAATATGCACCGAGGACCAATCCTGGGAGGCTTCTGGAAAAGGAGAGCTTTGAGAGGGTTTTGAAGGGTAAAAGAGGCACAGCTCTCTCCTGCCTGGAGGCATTGTCTACTGTTCCCTCTACTAGGAATATTCTCCATGGCTCTCTGTCCCCCATGCTGGCTCTTCCTCTCCCTTTAGGTCTCAGCTACCTTGACCATCTAACCTGAACAACAGTCTACCCTCATCATTATCTCTCATCCACCCTGATCTTGTCCTTCAAACTGCTTATGACAATTTGTAATTATATTGCAAATATTACTTCTTTAATATCCACTTACTCCTAGACTAAGAGGTTCAAGAGGTGAGGTCGAGGCCAGGCACAAATGTCTGGCAACTAGCAGAGGGGAGGCCACTGCCTGAGCAGACTTGAGAAAGGTTGTGGAATAAGTGTGAGCAAGAAATATGCTGCTTTGCCTGAGATGGGTGGAGCTAGGCCAGGGAGTAACAAACAGAGGAAGGGCCAGTTTCTGCAGATGCTGAAGAACAGGGAGTTTGGGTGGGACTTTCACAGCCATCTTTTACTGGATGCTTACCGGGTCTGTGCCAAGCACTTACAGACATGATTCATTCCATCTTCACAACCACCCCATGGGGCAGGTACCATGATTATGCCCCTTACAGAAGAGGAAGACAAAGCTCCAGGAAGGGAGAGAGTTGCCTGCGGCCACCCAGCTAGTGAGAGGTGATGGCAGGGCTCCAATTCCCTGCTGGTAATCTCTGCTAGGAGGTGCTATGTGTCCCTGTGACCCTCAGGAAGGGGAAAGGGCTATTCAACATAAGTCCTCTTTAAAAATAAACCTCTGCATTCGGTCCTTTCAGGACGTGTGGATGGGCGGGTGTGTGTCTCAAGATAAAACAACTGCCAAGAAAGCATTTCAACAGTAGCAACACATCCAACTCTACCAAGAACATATACCAAGTGCTCTTGTGCACCAGGCACTTTTCTAGGCTCTTTACATGTGTTCCATCAGTGAATCTTCACATTTCCCCTCTTTACAGATGAAGAAACTCTTTACAGATGGGTTAAGATCACGGTTAGTAAGTGACGGAGCTAGGATTTGAACTTAGGCTCCAGAATAGGTACTGTAGTTGAGATGAGCCTGCAGATGCCAGTTTGAGGCCCTAGGACCCCAGAGAAGGGAGCAGAGACATCACCCAAGGCCTTCTCTTCCCACTATACTTGAGTCCAGCCATTCCCTCCCTGAAGCTTTCTCCCACATCTCTATACTCCCCAATTCCCCCAGTCTGTTCTCTAGAGGAATCCCGTTAGTACCTGCACCAGCTCAGAGTCCTCAGTTGGTTCCACCTCATTCACAGTAAGAGTTGAAGACCTCATAATTGTTCCCAAGGCCCCAGGATCTGGCCTCCTGTTTCCCCCCTGCTCCAGCCACCGTGGTCCTCAGATACACCTAGCAGGCTCCTGTCTCACAGCCTTTGCACTCTTCCCCTGGTTGGAATACTCTATCCCCAGATACCCTCACGGCTTGCTCTCTCACTTCCTTCAGGTCTCAGCTCATAGGTCACATCTCAAAGAGTCCCTTCCTGACCACCCTATTTAAAATTCCTCCCCTCGTCTCTATTCCCTCACCCCACATAGTGCTCTTTACCTCCTGACGTGCTCTTTGTCAAGCTTCCCCTGCAGTGAAGGAGAGCTCCCCAAGGAGAATGATTTTGCTGACCTTGTTCCATGCTGTGTCCCCAGTGCCTGGAATAGGCGTGGCACGGAGTAAGCTGTTGAGCGGATGAAGTAGTGAATTAGAGAGAAAAGCGGAAACCAGAGAGCCTTCGACATGACATGGGCATGTCAGATTTGCGGACGCTATTATGTACAAGAACACGGAGGCACGGTGACGTAGGAGAAAACGCTGTTTGGAGTGAGACAACCTGAGTCAAATTTTGACAGCTCCATTTTACCATGATCTTTTCACATATGATCTTGCGTGTGAGGTTTAACCACTCTGGGACTCAGCTACCTCATCTGTAAAATGGGAATAACATTGACCTCGAGGTTATAGTGAGGATAAAACAAAGCCATGTATGTGAAAACACCTAATATTCTACTTGGTTCACAATAGGTATTTAATAAATATGCCTTCAGACTGACCTGAGGTGGCTCCACAGGCCCAGACATATCTGAGGGCAGTTTTTTCCAGAAGGTAGAACACGGGATCTGGTGGCATGGGAGAATTTAGGCGGTTCACGGACATGGCTTTGAATAACTCTGAATCACACAGTGAGAAACTTACTCTCTTCTCCATTCTCTCTTAAGCTTTCTGATTATGTTAAAGAGAAAGACTTGCTTTCCAAGCTTGTGTGCCTGAACACCTCTCTCCTACTTGCTAATCTTCCTTTTTAACAAAGAGGGTACAGGGGCTGCAGCCAGCTTAATGTAATACGCTTGTTTGCTTCTCACTATATTTTTCCAGTACTTTTTATTTACAGGCAAGTGATCCTAGCCTTCCACTTACAGTAGTGATATAAAGTATCCTCTTAAAATATTAAGTAAGAAAGTAAGTTGGTTTAAAGAAAAATATTAGTCACAGAAAGAGAAGGGACAGGGCAGATAAACAACACTGTGAAGGCTGCACCCAATGAGGGAGTCGGGGAAGGAACGAGTCCTTGAGTCAAGGGCTCTGCCCAGGGCCCCTCCTCCTGCCCTATGGTCCTGACCAAGGAAAGAGGGAAGCATCTAGCTCGGGGGATGGGGTCTCCATCACCAGTCCTGGGGGGCCGAGATTTACTCCTGCATGCCTCTCTGCACACACATAGCTCCAGAGCAACACTGAAATCAATTCTATCACGAGAACCACTAAGGGGCTTTGAGAAATGGGGGGAGGTAGGAGACACTAAAAATACAGAAAATGCTTGCGAGAAAGGGCTTGGGGTGAGCGGGTCTGGTTTCGGCTCTTGGCTCTACTGCACACTCACTGTGGCCTCTCTGAGCCCCAATCCCTGTGTCTCGGAGTGGGGTGTAATAAGACCTATCTCTCAGGGCTGCCCGATCCTTAAAGTGCTTAGTCCAGTGCTGGGCACATAGAAAGCCTTTGATAAGCTGGATTGCAATTATTATTATTATTATTACCACCATCATTATTATCATCATTAACGAGTCAGAGATGGAACAAAAGGGAGGTAGGAGCTGAGGAGGACAGACAGGGATTGTGTTTACATGGCAAGAAGTGTTGAATGTTACAAGTTGGGGTGCGGGTGTTGGGGTGGAGAGAGAGAGAGGGAGAGACTGACTGAGAGACATTGAGAAAGGCAGATGGAAACTGGCCCCTCCTAAGTAGGTGATGAATCCCAGTGATATGGGGCAGTGCCAAGTGGGAGGACCTGGGTCCCTGGGAATGGAGAAAGCCACACTTGCTGAGCAGGGATGAGACCTGGGGAGGATGCCCGAGTTCTGCATCCCGAACTGGGACTGAGGGGAGGGCCATGGTGCTGACTGAGGGCTCCTGACCTTGTGCTGACCCCTTCTCCCTCGCCAGTGCTGCCCTGGCCCCTGGGGGAGGCAGGTGGGGAGGGGGGTTTGAAGTGAGCTGGTGCAGTCCCGCCCCTCATGGGAGGCAGTGAGCTCACCCTCAGACACGTGTCCCCTCCAGGGCGGGTAAACAGGATGGATGCCTGGGTCAGCGGCTCCCTCCCTTGGTCTTTCCCTCCCACTCATTCCCTGGGGGTGGGTGGCCCGCCCAGCAGGCTCCGGCCGGCTCCCCTGCTCCACGCCCAGCTTTCTCAGCCAAGAGCAGCTCCAGTGCTCACTGAAATACCCTGAGGACCACCCTCAGGGTCGCGGCCACTTCCTTCCCTGATGTCTGGGGCCCCCCGCTGAGGCTTTTCCCCAGAACCTTAGAACCGCAACCGCAGAACCACGGCTGCCAGTCTCTCTGTGGGCTGGAGGGTGTGGAAGGGCATGAAGGCAGTCACCTTTTGGTGGCAGTGAGCGAGGGGGGAGAGATGAGAGAACAAAGGCCAACTGAAACTGAGAAAGGCCAAGAATGCCTCTCATTCTGGTGTCCCCCAACCCAGGCTGGCTGACACCAAGGGCAGGTCCTGTTCCACTGGGCTTCTCTACCCTCCCATCTTCCTAGGGGTCCTGCCTGTGATTTCTCTCTCCTAAGTGCCCCCACCCCACCACTTGCACGAGACACCAACAATCTATCTCCTCAAATGCCCCTGTCCCCACCCCGCCTGCGCCCCAAATTCCTGGGGTTGGGAAATTGGAACGCTTTTGCATCCATCTCATTCCATTTCTCCCTCCCTCCCTGATGCATGGGCTCCCTCTCTGTTTCAACACAGACCAGACTCACAATTACAGCTTATTACCCTATCAGTGGCAGGACCCTGAGTCATGGGGGGGAGGGACTCCGGGCTGCCCAGCCCTGTCACCTTTTCCCAACCTACAGTATAAGGAGTAGTGACAGGGAGGAGGACTCTGGGAAGGCAGGGGAGTCTGGGAAAGGAGAGAGAAGGCTGCAGACCTATAGGGAGGGAAGAACGAGGCACCAGAAGGAAGAAGAGAAGGGAGAAGGGTGCTCAGAAGAAGAGAAAGGGCAACAAGAAGTAAACTGGGGTGGGGAGAAGACACTCAGGAGAGAGAGAGAGCTGGGCAGAGATGAAGTTACAGGGGTCCCTGGCCTGCCTCCTGCTGGCCCTGTGGCTGGGCAGTGGGGAGGCTGGCCCACTGCTGAGTGGAGGGGAGAGCAGTGGAACAGCTGTTGGGGAGGCCATTGGACATGGGATGGGAGACGCCATCAGCCATGGAGTCAGGCAGGCCATTGGTCAAGGAGTCGGAGAGGGAGCCAGCTCTGGAGCCAGGGAGGCTGTGGGCCCTGGTGTGGCAGATACTCTCGGCCACAGGCTTGGGGAAGCAGCCCACGCTCTTGGAAATACTGGGAGTGAGGCTGGCAGACAGGCTGAGGATATCATTCGACATGGAATAGATGCTGCCCACAGCTCCTGGCAGGGGATGCCTGGCAGCAACGGTGCTTGGGTGAGTGGCTTGGAAGCCAGGGGAGGAAATGGGAGGCTGTGAGCAGCTGGGTTGAGAGTCTTAGGAACAGTTGAACGGCTGAATGGATCTCTTATTTGTGGCTGTCTGGGGCTGTTTCCTTCCATGTTATGTACCCTTCCTCTGCCACCTTGGAGTCTCTCTCTAGATCTTTCTGGTTTGCTCTGGCTCTTCTCTATCTTATGTTGCTTTGCCTTCCCTTCCCCAGTCAGAGTCAGAGAGGGTCACACTGAGTGCAGGCATATTGTTCTTCCAGGGAACCAATGGCCAGCCTCTATCTGGAGGCCATGGCATCTCTGGCTCTCAGGGTAGCCTTGGAGGCCACAGCCAGGGTAATCCTGGAGGTCCAGGGACTCCTTGGGGCCATGGACACCCTGGAAGCTCAGAAGGCAGCTTTGGAGCCAACTCTCAGGGAGGCTCCTGGGGTCAAGGAGGCAATGGAGGGTCATTCAACTCTGGCACCAATGCTCAGGTAAAGTAACCGCCCCAGCCCCGATACCTGCCACCTCCCTCCCTTCAAGCCCACACTCTCATGCCTTCCTTATCCTTCCAGATCCCACACTCAGTCCCACCCTCCTTACAGGGAACTGTGGCCCAGCCTGGTTATGGTTCAGTGAGAGTTGGTGGCCAAAATGCAGAGGTAAGAGGAGGAGTCTGGGGATCAAGAGGGTGTCTGGGTGCATGTGACAGAAAGTGGAGGAGAGACAAAGAGCAAAGGAAGACGGGCAGGGAGGGACTGGGGTAGGAGGGCATCTGGACTGGGAAGAGATGGTGTGGGGAGGAGGCTAGGAAGAGGGGAGGGAAACAAGAAGGGCATGGGGGAGAGACATGTTGGGGGGAAGGAAGCAAGCCACAACCAAGCAGGAGTGGCCTGGCTTGTGGAGATGCCTTTGTCTGAAACCTCTCAACTCACTTGTCCCCTTCCCTCTGCAGTGCACCAACCCCCCACCATCTGGCTCAGGTGGAAGCTCTGGCAATTCTGGGGTAAGAGAAGGGAGGCAACCTGTGGCATTCTGCACTGGGAGGACATGGAGGGACTCTGCTCCCCCTCAGACTGGGCAGGGGATTTGTTCCAGGCACGAAAAGAAGGGGAGGAGGGAGGCAATCTTGATGTTCCTGTCTTTAGACCTGCTCTGGTCTCTTCCTTCCCCTCAGGGAAGTAGCAGCTCACAGTCAGGCAGCAGCGGCAGCGGCAGTGGCAGTGGAGGCAG